TAGCTTTAAGATGAGGTATGATAAAGCTCATGGAGCAGGGAGAGAGAGGACCTAGTAGCACTCGATGAAGAGGTGGGGCCAGGAGCTGAGTCTTGACCCCTGCAACCACAATTAGGTGAGTACACTCTCTCACACACACACACTCACACTGTCACTGTTTCTGTCTCACACACATGCACGCATAGCCAGGAGTTGACTCAACCCCTACAACCTCATATAGGTGAGTACATATAAATATGATGTGCTTTCATAAAACCTTCACTAGGGCATAAGAATTTTTTAGTTCCCTGAACTGTTATTTACTTTTGTATTTCACTTGAAGCCGTTTATACAATTTAAAATGTTTTCCTCATGCATTAGACATTTTAGAATATTTCATTTATATTACTATATGTATATAAAATATAAGAAGAGCAGAGTATATGGAGAGTAAAAGAAAGGTGAAGAGAATGGTGAGAGAGTGCAAAAGGAGAGCAGATGATAGTGGGAGAGGCACTGTCAAGAAATTTTAATGAAAATAAGAAAAAATTTTGGAGTGTTAAACAAGTTAAGAAAACCTAGGGAAAGTATGGATTTATCAGTTAAAAACAGAGTAGGGGAGTTAGTAGATGGGGAGATGGAGATATTAGGTAGATGGAGAGAATATTTTGAGGAACTTTTAAATGTTGAGGAAGAAAGGGAGGTGGCAATTTCATGCACTGGCCAGGGAGGTATACCATCTTTCAGGAGTAAAGAAGAGCAGAATGTAAGTGTGGGGGAGGTACGTGAGGCATTACGTAGAATGAAAGGGGGTAAAGCAGCTGGAACTGATGGGATCATGACAGAAATGTTAAAAGCAGGGGGGGATATAGTGTTGGAGTGGTTGGTACTTTTGTTTAATAAATGTATGAAAGAGGGGAAGGTACCTAGGGATTGGCGGAGAGCATGTATAGTCCCTTTATATAAGGAGAAAGGGGACAAAAGAGATTGTAAAAATTATAGAGGAATAAGTTTACTGAGTATACCAGGAAAAGTGTACGGTAGGGTTATAATTGAAAGAATTAGAGGTAAGACAGAATGTAGGATTGCGGATGAGCAAGGAGGTTTCAGAGTGGGTAGGGGATGTGTAGATCAAGTGTTTACATTGAAGCACATTTGTGAACAGTATTTAGATAAAGGTAGGGAGGTTTTTATTGCATTCATGGATTTAGAAAAGGCATATGATAGAGTGGATAGAGGAGCAATGTGGCAGATGTTGCAAGTATATGGAATAGGTGGTAAGTTACTAAATGCTGTAAAGAGTTTTTATGAGGATAGTGAGGCTCAGGTTAGGGTGTGTAGAAGAGAGGGAGACTACTTCCCGGTAAAAGTAGGTCTTAGACAGGGATGTGTAATGTCACCATGGTTGTTTAATATATTTATAGATGGGGTTGTAAAAGAAGTAAATGCTAGGGTGTTCGGGAGAGGGGTGGGATTAAATTATGGGGAATCAAATTCAAAATGGGAATTGACAGTTACTTTTTGCTGATGATACTGTGCTTATGGGAGATTCTAAAGAAAAATTGCAAAGGTTAGTGGATGAGTTTGGGAATGTGTGTAAAGGTAGAAAGTTGAAAGTGAACATAGAAAAGAGTAAGGTGATGAGGGTATCAAATGATTTAGATAAAGAAAAATTGGATATCAAATTGGGGAGGAGGAGTATGGAAGAAGTGAATGTTTTCAGATACTTGGGAGTTGACGTGTCGGCGGATGGATTTATGAAGGATGAGGTTAATCATAGAATTGATGAGGGAAAAAAAGGTGAGTGATGCGTTGAGGTATATGTGGAGTCAAAAAACGTTATCTATGGAGGCAAAGAAGGGAATGTATGAAAGTATAGTAGTACCAACACTCTTATATGGATGTGAAGCTTGAGTGGTAAATGCAGCAGCGAGGAGACTGTTGGAGGCAGTGGAGATGTCCTGTCTAAGGGCAATGTGTGGTGTAAATATTATGCAGAAAATTCGGAGTGTGGAAATTAGGAAAAGGTGTGGAGTTAATAAAAGTATTAGTCAGAGAGCAGAAGAGGGGTTGTTGAGGTGGTTTGGTCATTTAGAGAGAATGGATCAAAGTAGAATGACATGGAAAGCATATAAATCTATAGGGGAAGGAAGGCGGGGTAGGGGTCATCCTCGAAAGGGTTGGAGAGAGGGGGTAAAGGAGGTTTTGTGGGCAAGGGGCTTGGACTTCCAGCAAGCGTGCGCGAGTGTGTTACATAGGAGTGAATGGAGACGAATGGTACTTGGGACCTGACGATCTGTCAGGGTATGAGCAGGGTAATATTTAGTGAAGGGATTCAGGGAAACCGGTTATTTTCATATAGTCGGACTTGAGTCCTGGAAATGGGAAGTACAATGCCTGCACTTTTAAGGAGGGATTTGGGATATTGGCAGTTTGGAGGGATATGTTGTGTATCTTTATACACAACTGTTGTATTCTGAGCGCCTCTGCAAAAACAGTGATAATGTGCGAGTGTGGTAAAAGTGTTGAATGATGATGAAAGTATTTTCTTTTTGGGGATTTTCTTTGTTTTTTGGGTCACCCTGCCTAGGTGGGAGATGGCCGACTTGTTAAAAAAAAAAAAATTACTTATTACCAAACCTCTTTCTACACATAGCTCAATTAACCCTTTGACTGTCGAAGGGCCAAATCCTGAAGTTGCTTCTGGTGTCGCAAAATATTCGAAAAAAAAAAAAAAATTATTTTTTCTTATGAAATGATAGAGAATCTTTTCCCGATTGTAAAGATACCAAAAAAACGAAATTTGATGGAAAACTGACGGAATTACGCTCTCGCGAAGTTAGCGACTTCGGCGATATTTAAAAATCGGCAATTTCGCCCACTTTGAGCCCTATTTTCGGCTAATTCCGTTATTCCAGTCAACCAAACTCTATTTTTTCTATCGATTGAGTACAAGAAACTGCCCATTTACCGATTTCAACTACCCAATAACATGGTCAGAAATTTGCAATTTGGCCAATTTCACGAAAATTAAAAAATACGACAATTTCAAAATAAGGTCCAGAATGAACAATGCAGACATTCCTGGCTCTAAAATAACATTTTCTTTGTTCATCAGTCATGTCTCCAGGTCCCCGTGATATTACTCTTGCTTTTTATTTTGAAATTTTATTCAAACAAAAAAATAGAAGATTTACTGTTATGCAGACTACTGCAATACTGTAATAATTGTAAAAATTACATCAACCCATTCATGACTGCGTATTAGAATGGCTATTTGGACATTTATTGGACAATGACATCATTTGTTCACTTTTGAACATCGGCAAAAATCAAACATTTCCTGTACTTTGTGCTCCATTTCCAGGTTCTTTTTATAGTAAAATTAATCAAAATCACCTCCATTTCTATAATATAGTTTCCATTCTATCAAATGAGACCAAGAAAACGAGAATACAACCACAAATACTATATGAAAATAGACCACAAAGTCGGGATTTTAATTAAAAAAAACGGTCGGAGTTTTTTTTTTCTCATTATGCACTGCGTGCTCCAGGATTTTTTTTATGTGGTGCACACTGACCACACAGACCCATTCTCTCACATGTGGGCCTACTAGCTTTCTCCTGCCTGATTTGAAGCCGCTAGAATTTATGAGTATATATACGTCAAACACGGTACCTCGCAAACGTATATATACGGCCGCGACAGTCAAAGGGTTAAAGGCTCCCCATTTTCATTTACCCCTGGCACCCCAGATTTACCTACTACTCTCTCCACAACATTTTTACCCACTTTAGGATTGAAATCCCCAACCACAAGTACTCTCACACTTGGTTCGAAACTCCCCATGCACTCGCTCAACATTTCCCAAAATCTCACTCTCTCCTCTACACTTCTCTCTTCTCCATGTGCATAAATGCTTACTATAACCCGCTTTTCACATCCAACCCTTATTTTACTCCACATAATCCTTGAATTAATACATTTATATTCCCTCTTTTCCTGCCATAACTTATCCTTCAACATTATTGCTGCTCCTTCTTTAGCTCTAACTCTATTTGAAACCCCTAACCTAATCCCAATTATTTCTCCCCACTGACACTCTCCCACCCCCTTCAGCTTTGTTTCACTTAAAGCCAGGACATCCAGCTTCTTCTCATTATAACATCCACAATTATCTCTTTCTTATCATTCGCACAACATCCGCGCACATTCAAACCTCCCACTTTGACAGTTTTCTTCTTTCTTTTTAGTAAGCTATACGGGAAAAGGGGGCATTGACCCCCGAAACTCTCTCCAGGTAAACTCCAGGTATTCCGAAATTGGCATCTTTTGAAATTTGTGTGAAATTGGCAAAATTGCTAAATTCTGACCACTGTACTGGATAGTTGAATTTCATAAATGAGTGGTTTCTTGCATCCATTCGATAGAAAAAATGGAGTTCTAGCGAAATATTCATGTTTTTTGTCGACTAGTACAGTGAAATTGGCCGAAAATGGGGCTCAAAGTGGGCAAAATCGCCGATGCGTAAACATCGCCGAGACCGCTAACTTTGCGAGAGCATAATTCCGTAAGTTTTCTATCAAATTTCAAACTTTTGGTGTCTTTATGATCGGGAAAAGATTCTCTATCTTTTCATAAGAGAAAATAATTTTTTTTTTTTTTAAATTTGGCCGACCCTGAGAACGAGTTTCGGAGAGGGCCTGTCGACCCTCAAAGGGTTAAATATAAAAGGTAAAAACTTTCTTCTTTCAACACCGGCCGTATCCCACCAAGGCGGGGTGGCCCAAAAGGAGAAACGAAAGTTTCTCCTTTTACATTTAGTAATATATACAGGAGAAGGGGTCACTAGCCCCTTGCTCCCGGCATTTTAGTCGCCTCTTAAGACACGCATGGCTTACCGAGGAAGAATTCTGTTCCACTTCCCCATGGAGAAAAACATTATGATCAAATGTTATTCTTTTTTCTGTAGCACTTGCTAAATTAACATTAATATTAATTATTTTTCCTTTCAACAGATTGGCAGAAAACTTTTTTACCAAGGATAATGAGAAAAGGGCAACTGTGCAGAAAAGGTTAGGTGGTCATGTTTCTCGTCTTAGTATTTGGTCAACTTTGTCCTCATTTCTTTTCTTCACTGTCCTTACTGTGCCCTTTATCTGCACCAAAATTGGTCGTCAGCTCTACCTACAGCTGATAGTGTATGGTACTCTTGGATCCTACGGCTGGCTAGCTGTTCGATCTGTTTGTTAACTTTTTGCAGACAAATTAAAATGTTTTCCAATAAACTAAGAGTATTACACAATATTGTGAATGCAAGCCTTTGCATACTCATAAGAAAAGCAACAATGAGCAGTAACAAATTGTTAGTACTGTAAATGACCAAGGATTTATGATAACTGAAAATATGTACCTAGAAAAGGGATAATTAAAGTATTTTGGTAATAAATCATGATTTATCTACCAAAAATTTTCTCATTCAGAGCTTCTTAAGAAAACATTTTGTAATCACAAAGATAAATTTAGAGTACGTATGATCATACATGTATATGAATTTAAATTGTGGCATAATTAGTTTGCTATTAAAGTGCTAAAAGACCACTTATATGTGCAGTAGTAAGCCATTAGTTGTATGTATTTAAAAAGCAAAGGACCATATATGTCAGACCCGAGTACATTACTGCCTGTTATATCCTCTAGGATGACCACCGTTTAAATATAAAAGCTAAAAACATTATGATCAAATGTGTTATTCTTTTTTCTGTTCAAACAGTATCATATGAAGATGAGAGGTAAACATGATAAGTTGTATTTCATTCTGTTCTAATATTATGCAAGATGTTACTTTAGTTAAATCAAACCCTTGTTATAAAGGTTAATTTTCTATGTGATTTTTGTTTTTCCTTAGGTAAGAAAGGCTTTGCACAAGATAATAGTGCAGAAAATTACAAAATACAGTGGAGCATCTACTGTCTGTTATCAGTCCTTAAATATCTTCAATATTTCCGTTAGGGACCAGTTGCATCAGTCAACACTAAGCGCTTTACCCACAAGGGTCATATCAGTTGCATCATAGATGGGTGAGTGTAAGTTTGGGATTGTTACCAGCAGAGTTGACATTGTTGATAACACACTTTGTCATTTAACATTCAACAAGATTACTTTGATACTGGTGAATGGCTCTCAATCCAAGGAATTGGCAGCACCTTTCTTTAGATCAAACCTGATTGCTTCATTCTCCAGATGCTGTATGAGCCTCCATGAATTTAGCATTTCCAAAAGATTGTAACATAGAGCATGGGCAAAAAGTTAGCACATTATTATATACAGTAATTATAAAAATCCTGTTATCCTATACCTAAAGGGTGATTTTGGCTGAAGGGTAATTTAGCTTTATCCTCCTCCTATTTCTTCTACTTTATTTACTAAAGTTCTTAAAAATCAGACAAGCTTAAGTGTAATGTTAACCTTGAAAGAAAAAGTAAAACCAGTGGTGGTAATGGGGAATGTGGTGTCAGTCTCCAGTACCCACCTGATCCCTCCAGCCTTGCTAGTGGAGTATTTTCATTATTTTTTTTTTATTTTTTAACATCAGTTATCTCCTGCCAAGGCAAGCTCATTAAACATTGTTGGTCAGTTAATAGGTGTGTCTTGTTTCTCTTGAACTGTATATAATAAAAAATGGTTCTGTACAAACAAATTTCACATAGTTTTTAATTGATATGTAATGTTTAATACATTAGATTAATACTGGCCCGAAATATGACTGGAAGGTGGAGAGTCATTGTGACTGTGTTGGAGATTGGCCAGTGTGAGGAATTGACCTCTTCATCTGAAGACTAAGGAATTATGAATCCTGTTGGACAGTGCATGACTTGTAGAGGGGTATTAGCTTCATCTGGCAAAGAATCTGAAAGAAAATGGCTTCTGTTAGATGTTGGCATGACATGTAGAATGACCAGCAGAGAAATATTTATCTATAGCTCAAGATTTCTTTTTCAAAAGTCATTGTTGTAATTCTGCTTTCTAGAGCTATGAAATTTATTTGGATCCCATTCTGTAGAGAGCTGAGTTGTTTCAAGCTTAACTCACTTTAACAACTCCAGCATAATGAATTTATAAGGGCTTTGATTAGTTTCTACATCAACCAAATAAGGCTGATTTAGACACTACTGTACATTACTATAATATACATATTTTGCACTAGGGTCTCTCAGCTATCTTTTATAATATACTAATTAATCATTTTGGGGCTAGACATAAACATTGTAGATAGTAGATGTTCCACTTGAGTATTTCTTGGTGTTACTATTTAACCATGAGCATTACTTTTAAATGTAATGTTAGATTGGATTACATAACATCGGTATTAAAGATCTTAGGTTGAGAAATTTGATTTTAGATACAGTACAGTAATTTATATTTATTTTAATTTATTTAATTTAAATTTTGTTTATGGAGGTAACACCCAGCCTATAGCACAGCCTTTTGCCTTCACTTTTTACACTTAAGACTTGTAGAAAAGAATAGTTTGCACAAATTAAACTTTCAAAGTTTAAAGTAAGAATTCTAACACTAGAATATATTTTCTTCTAAAATATGGCAGGGAATGCAGAATGTTCTGCAGTATCTACCTTCAAAAGCTACAAATCCAAAGAATTGGAGCTACCCTCCCCAGCTTTGGATTAAATCTAGTTTCTGCTCATTTCCCAAGTGCTGTATAACCCCTATGGGTTTAGTTCTGTCCCATATTATACTACTATTACTCTGCAAGACTTGGAAATCTCTGGCTATCTTTTCCTGACAACGGAAATAAGATGGTTTTCATGTATAATATGTACATTAGGACTCCTTAGAATCTGGAAACATATAATTTTCATAATAAGCAGTTAACTATACTTTACAGCCAAGAAATGGAGAGTATTAATTTTAGCATTTTCATGCATTAATAAAAAAAAGTGTATTTCATGTAATCCTGATTGTGTTCAATATACAATAGTACTGATTTTCTTTCCATGTGGTTATTTCCATTTATCCATATTGTATTTTCATATTTGTCTGGTACTCAGTCAGGTTTTTCTTTTCCTCATCATTGTACTTATTTGTATAAATTCATGATTAATTTACTTGAAGTAATATAAGGGTTGAAGAGGCAGGTTCGGTGGGGTTGATAATATACTAGGCTTTCTAATTCCACTTAGTGATAAGATCTAGTATTGTACTTAAGAATTTCAGACTTTAATTTTTCCTGCATAACTGATCAAGCAATTATGGGCAGATGTAAACGAGATGTAATGACAGTTCTCAATGTGTACACCCAGCCAAGTGTTGTTGGTTTGAATGTGGGTAATAGTCAAAATTACAAGATAGCCTAAGCCTGCAGAAATGAATGTGGAAAATAATCACAGTATTATATAAAAATAGTTATGATGAATAGGTGAGAATAGTTAAGTGTAACAATGCATTAAGTGATGTACAGACATGAATTTTGTATTTTTTTTTTTATTGACCTTGGTGCATTACTAGCTTCATAAAAGAAAATAGATATTTTCATACAAATGAAACTGAGGAGCAAATATTTTTCTTATTCTACATATGTCATGCAGATTCTGGAATTATCTATTGTATATTCTCCAGATATAAGGATTTTGTATAGGGGGTATAATAATTAATATATTAAGTATATCTATATACACACTAGTACTCAGCATGACTTAAGGGTAGTGTGGTGGAGAGTAACTGCAGTACTGTAGTACCAGAGGGTCTGTGGGTCAAGAGGTGTGACAATGGCAGAGATGGGAACTGCAGTGTCTTTTCTCGTGAGGGGGCACTTGAAAGCTGAGTGGTACTTGCCTGTTCACATTTTGCAGCTTTTAACATAGGAACAACAATTTTTATGAACAGTGGGGCCATTTCTATTGAACTGTTTTGTAGGCCTTCATTGAGGCTGTTCTAGGTACTAGGAAAGAGTTTAGGGAGAAACCTAGATTCTCCTTGCTTTTTTATTTTTCCAGATGTTCTCTAGCAGAGATTGTTAAACCTACCAAAGTGCCAAAGAACTAGATATTGACCTCACTACAAACATTGACTTTTTTAATAATTAGAATAAAGAGAGGCAAAAGGATCACCAATTTTGGAAGACCATAAAATAAATTTCATGTAGGTTATAGAAATTGAGACGCCATTATAGGAAAATAACAGTTAACAGCTTTTCTTAATAGATTGAAGGTTTTTCTACAATTCTACTTAAAAAATCAGGGTTTTTTTCTTTAAGTAGCCTTGAGAACATCAAATCCCAACATGGAAACATTAACCAAGTAATATTAGCAAACTGCATAATCTAGACAGGAATTTTCTGCAGTGTCTTCAAGGGGCGAGTTAAGTATTTGATGTGCCAAGGTATTACCTTTTTAAATTGCTGTGCCTGTTGATCCAGTTGGAAAAAATGACAGCTTTGTACACATGATTTGTGGACTATTGTTGATTTTATTTTAGTATCATTTACAACTCTTAAGTATTTATCTGAAATAGACACTGATAGCAGGAAAACTTTTATTAGCATTTCGCCGAAGGCTAGGCTTTATCGAATGAAACATTAATAACAGGTTTCTCTGCTGTTTGTATCTTTATTTCCACTTTCTGATTTATTCTATTATTTATCCAAGTGTTTAGCTTGTAAAGCTCAAGACTGTGATGGGATTGTGGAAACAGTGTTATCCTCATTTGTAATCTTTTGGGTTTTGCTCAAGACATGAGGCTGTCACTGAAAAATTCATTTGTGGAAATTCAGACATTAGGTAGAGTTGCCTGTGTGGGAAAAGGGGTTAGTGGTTGGGGTATGTGTATATAGTACAAACATATACAGTATTACAGAGTGTTTTGGAAACCACGTTGCCTCTTTCCATTGGGGCTTAAAACCCCAGTGAACAGTGCATAATTTTCTTTTCTTTTTGGCAGTTAAACAGAAAAAGGTATAGAAAGCACTTTAATGGAAAATTACAGGTATATCGGCTAATAAGGAACGCATAGGAAAGTAAATGTGTACAGTGGAACCTCGGTATGCGAGCTTGATTCATTCCATAAGGCTGTTCGAGTGCCACTTTGTTTGAGTATGAACAAGTTCTTCCCAAACCAATTTTCTGTTTGGGTGGCTGTTATCACTAATCTTCGTAGGCCCATGGTTACTTCATATACAAAAAATACAAAAAAACACCAAAAAATGCGAAGAAACACAAAATAGTTTACAACGAATTTTCTGGCAGGTCGTATTGTTTGGTAGTGCTGAACTTTGTTCGAGTAGGGACTGGTTGTATACCGAGGTTCCACTGAAATATAGATTACACAAGTTTGTAACATTTATTTATTATATTGCGTGTTTTTGACAAAGAAAAGATCAGTAAGCTATGGTATGCAAAACATTTAACAGGCTTTGTCTCGAAACTTGTATGACAAATGAATTAGATTTCTGTCTAGCGCCTTGGGAATATGAAAAGGTTACAGTAGTGGTAAAAATTAGTTCAGGGAAAAAAGGCAATCAGCATTGCAAACAGCACTTACTAGATGAATCCATAAAAAAAAAATCAATCCTACCATCACTAAATAATAGGTAATACAAGTTCAAGTGATTGTTCGTATTGAAAAACCAGCATGAGCATGATTCTTGCACTTATTGAATTTTTAGCAGCCATTAAAAATATTTGCAAAATATAAATTGTTTTGAAATGTTTAAAAACCCCCTTTTAGAAATGTGCATTGTGTACATGGACCCATGTTTTTGAGCCATCTTTATTTTTTTAGTTATGGGTTATTTTTTAGTACAATACATATTATATAAGCATCTAATTTTAGTATTTTTATGCATACTATATCACTTTTGCTACACTTGA